AATCTCTCCATTAGAAGTGAAATTAGTCAAGTATATTAATTTTTTGAATTGTGGAAACAGGTAAAGATCCAAATGTGGTTTAGAAGAGCTTGTTTCCTTAAACAGACAACAACTCTTCGGGGGCTTTCTTTCAAGTTTTTTTTGAAAAACACATTCGGAGTTCATCCAAAAGGAAACACTGAAAATCATTAGCAGCGCAGACTAGTAATTCAGAGCGGTGCTCTCCAACGGCAGCCGGGTGTGTGTTACATACTTCAGCGGGCGTCTGCTGCCCCCGTCAGACCATTCCCAGTATTGCAGAAAAAGATTAGTCAGAAAGTCACAGCATCCCGTTCTTTTGCACTAGTTTTCGGGTGAGGAGAGGGGAAGAACCCTGAGAAGAAAGATAGTGTTAAGTAGGTAGTTGGTGAACGTTTCTGTATATCGGCAAAGGATTTTTTTCGTGTTAGAAATGCACAGTAATGCAGTTATCTTAATGAGTAAGACAAACCATACTTCAAGTTACATCTTTCGCTGTTAGGTTCAACAGTTGCAACTGAGATGAGATAAAAAAGATCTTAAAGCAAAGGCTGCAGACTGGGCTGTGGAAAACCTGGAAATCAAGGCAAGCTTCCAGAGTGCATTTATATAGTTTTGGTTAAGCGATGCCCGCTCTGTGGTTCAGTTCTTCATATGCAAAACAAATTATGCCCTCTCTCTCTCCTTTTATCTTCCTTTTACTTCAGAAAAAGCTCTTGTTGCACGATCAAGGCCAGGTCGGCAGAAGGTCTTCCTTACTTAATCCACAGATGCTGGATCATGCAACTGGATTTTATATGCCTAAATAGGCCTGTGTGTATACGCAGTGCTCAGTGTACACAGATGTATGTATCTGTGTGTATATGTATGAGTGTTCAGCAGCTCCCTAATCTCCGCTGAAATTAAGTACTCCCTTTAAAAAGAACAAACAACAGCTTGGTGAACATGCAGACCCAGTTAGTACAGTGCAAGGACAACTGTAGGTAGAAATTCCAATCGTATCATAAAGCTAGTATTTTGTGTTTGGGATGTAACGCAGTACATTTGTTTTAGCTTGCCTGAGAAGGTTTTTTAAAATAGATGAAAAGAGAAGATTTCAAAGATTATTTTACGCATTGAATGTTCTTTCCGTAGGGAGAGAAATTACGCTTCTGGAAAGTTACTGTGTATCCATCTCCCACTAACAGAACCTGCTGAGATAACAGCAAATATAAATACCAGGCTTTCTTGTGGTGATATTGCTTTATTATTTCCTCGCACACAATTTAAGCAAAATGGTTAAGGAAGAACAGCGATACAGATTTGATGGTGCACTTCATTCCACATACCTCATAACACAAAGGTTCCCAGAGAATAAAACTTACATTTTTTTAAAGGGGAAAGAACGTATCAATATTTTTTCAAAACTGAAATAGTTATTTTCTACTTTGCTGAATCTGAGTAATTTTCAGAGCTTCTCACTGAAGCTCTCAAATACATACAATGCATTCTATTTATTGTCCTGTCTGTACTCATTTTGCTGCTAATAGTAAAAAAAAAAAAAAAAACCAACAAAAAAAAACCACCAAAAAAACAGTTTCCATTTTTCACTCCACAGATTCTCAGCACACCAAGGAAAAACTCGACATCATCCTTGAAGTTAAATCACTCAGAAGTGACAGAAGGCACCCCCTGTTCACATGCATATTATACACCCATTGAAATGTAGTGCAATACATCACTGAGGTATGTTGAGTTTTGCTTTTGTCAGCTTGCTTTTTTTTTTTTTTTTTTCAAACCCTTTCCAGAGCTAGAACCAGGCAGGGGAAAACCCTGGCAGAAACGGGGCTGAAAACCACAGCTCCCGAGAAGACTCTCCCAGGAGAGGGGCACAGTGGACACCAGTCACAGTAAATTTGGCCTAAAACAGGATTAGAAATACATCACTAATTAAGTTATAACATACGTAAGTTTAAATATTCAACATCTGATGCCCAATAATCGTATTGCCACGTGTTTATGTGTATTACGGCTTTGACTGATTTCATTAAAAAACATTTAAATAAAGGTGGTAAAAGTATCTGACTATTCTAAAGGCATTTAACTCTAAAGTACGTTCGCTTTCTACAGGTAAACTCCCACATAAATATTGTAGCAATTATTTTATCAATGCTTGTCCTCCGTGATCAAGTTCAGTTCACAATGCCGGCTAAACTGTACATTGCCGAGTTACTGGATGACAACCAACAGATAAGACTTCCTGAACTTTTCGACTCACCTTTGTTAGCTGCTCTGCAAAGTGTATAGCCGTTTGAGTATGAAGCGTAATTGGTCCACTTTTCACCCTAGACACCCCCTTTGCTAGCGCCATAAAAACGATCAGCTGAAAGGGAGGGAAAGGTAATTATTAAGTAACTCTTCAGATCCTAGGAACTTATTGATTAAAAAAAAAAAAAGGGGGGGGAAACATGCAAAATGTCTGTGGATGTAAAAATGTGGTCTGCCGGGTTTCAGAAAAGTTCATGACGCTGAGTGTTAAGAGTGATCCAAGGCTCAAGAAGCTTGGAAATTACTACCGTAACGCCTATTACAGAAGGGCTGCTACTTTTCCACAGTGGAGTTTGCCACTGAATTCCTGCTACTACATTTAATTTTGCTCTCCCCACCCTCCTACCTCGAAATTCCCCAAAGTTGTGTCAGACTCCAGAATGGTAGATTACATTTATGGAGAGAAAAACTCAGGAAGAGGTTTTTTAATTCTATCACTTTCTGATGACATGTTTGCCAGACACTTAAAAAAAATCTGATTTGATTTACAAACACCACCATGACAAGTACTCTGTAAAGCACGATGTAACTCTGAGCAGTTCCCGTACACACTGAATCTAGCTGTGGCACGTTTCCACCAACTGTACTGTGCGAGCTTTGGAAAAAGTAGGATGAGTCCAAGACCTAAATACTTCCTATTATACTGCATAATAGTAATGTGTGGCCAGAGATAACATCATCCTACCTAGAACAGTCCAAGATTCTTATCAGGCTGGGTTATTGAAAATAAGATAGCGGCGGGGGGGGGTTCTCAAATGAAGTTAGGTGAGCGAGACAAATGGGAGCACCTCCTAGATATTCTGTTCTCTAATAGCTTCACTTAGCATCGTTCTTAATGTGTAACCAGGGAGCTATTTTTACTCCACTACATGGAGTACCAAATAGAAGCAAATTCCTGCCTCTTTCTTCCATACCTACTAAGATTTACAGGAAGGGAAAACTTAAGGGTGTTGGTGCAAAGGCAGGAGCATCTGTGGTTCCTAAGAACTGTATGTAATTTGCTAATCCTAGTGACGTTGTGACCTCCTAACACTTCTAATTATCAAATAATTATGTAAAGCCACGCCTACCTGTGGAGATAGAGTCTAACTTTGAAATCTACATCTCATTCTTTCCCTGTTCAGATTTATATTCTTTACAAGTAATAATAACATGCATGTTCTTGCTACTTCAACTTCATGTAAACACATACAGGAGCCTTACTTGGTCTTGCAGAGAATCATCCACAGTTCCACCATGTTTAAGATTCCTAAGCAGTATCTCAGCTGCTTCAATGCCAACCTTGTCAGAATTCTTTCCTAATAAAGAAATTCAGGAGATTAGGATGCTGCCAATTATTATCTAACATTTTAAAAATACAGAAGGAAAAAAAAATAAATCAAGAAATGATCAACTTTCTAAATCTTTTTTCCATGCTCTTGCCTCAAACGTCTGCTTAAAAAACCCCTCCCATCTTATGATGACATATAGTTCATACTTCCTAAGCAGTGGAAAGGAAGTAGCCCCACTTAGTCAGAGAAACATTTTATTCAAACCATTTAAAACCAAAATCACTTCTATTCCTTTTAATCTAAATACACATCCAGATTCACTGTTGAACAAAAACGTCACAGGTAAACCACAAAGACTGTATGTTCTTAAAGTCCAGAAGCATTTTCAACTCAGTGACCCTTAACAATACATTCTGATAAAAGGCGAGTTTAATAATTTTGTCATTTTTGTCACTATGCAGAAGCAGCTTAGTACAAAGTGTAAGATTCCATTTACTACGTTTAAAATCTGTTCATTGCCACTGTCCTTTATTACTAAACAACATCCATTTAAAAATGCAGCACTCAAAGCATCAGATCTTTGAATAGATTATACTTCGGGTTCCTATTTGTTAACAGTACGTTAAGTTAAATCTGAAAGAGGTATGGTATACCTCATGGAACTCTTACCTCTCTTGCCAAGTGACGAACCAGCTAACAAACAACCTGTTGAAGTCTCTGCAACAACGCTAAGCAGAAAAAACAGAATCAATATTAAGAACAAAATCACTCACGTTACACTTTATTTATCAGATATGTAATCAAGATCTAGCTAATCAACCAGCAAGGCTACAGGTATCAATAGAAGGTTTGGCTCATCTTACATTATTCCACTCCCAGTCCCAAAGGCTTGATCATCAGGTTCTCGAACAGGCTGAATGTTAATGTAAAGATCTCTGATTTCTTTTCTGATGCATCTCACTGCTGCTGCTGCCATGTCTTTTGCCAGCTAGCAAGATAAGACGTAAAAACATTAATTAAATTATGTAATTATAGTAATACTTTTTCCTCATAAGCCTAATTATTACAGTGAATCCCTGAATAAAGGCACTACTTTATTAACTAGAAAAACAAAGGATTGTTATAAAACCCTACAAGCAAGCACTGAACATCATCTCCTCCAAGAATTTTCCCACAAAATTAAGGTAACATTAAATGCTAAACAAATGACAATTATAGTGATGTATGTAGAAGCTTCAATATCAATAGAAATTCAAGAACTTTTCTCTGTTCATAGGGAGAAAGATTTGATTTTAGTCATGATTATCTCAAGACATTAGATTGTAAAAAAAAACGAAAAAAAAAAAAACAAAAAAACCACCCCACAATGATTACGTACAGGATATACGCTATAAGAGATAAAATAACAATTTTAAATCTCAGGCAGGTGGGGGCAGATGAAGCTTATCCCATCCTTGTGATCCAATCAGAGCCAATATTCGTAGGTTTGGAGATTTTAAGACCAAAACCAGCAGTCCACAGCTCTTCAAAAAGTAACTCAGTTTCTCCTCTTCCTTCCTCTATTAATTCCTAGCCTGTGTGTGAGAAGGAGCCCTAAGGAGATCCCACCACTCGTTCTCTGTAAACACAGACAGGATAGGAATAATAGAAAGAAGGGGGTACAAAGGAGCAAATTTCTGTCTGGTTTATCCTTGGCTAAACCTACCCTTAACTTGTTCTGTCTAGTACCCTTAGCAATGGTAGAAAAATTTGATGTAGTCTGACCTCTGCCTATTACAGTGCACCATAGTTTACCCATAAATCTATGAACGAGGGCCATGATTTCAGATTTAAAATAATCCACGTAAATATGAACAATACGTTAATCAGATGTAAGATACCCCTCAATATATGCTAAAGACTTTTGAACAGTCATATGAAGGATATCAAGGATACCGTTCTCATTTCCTGTTTTAGCTGCTACCGTATTGCTATGCAATAAATGCATTTTAGAAATGTCCACAATTCTATTCTACGGCCTGAATAATTGAAACCATTTAATAGGGCTCCTTAGTTTGTATGTGAAAGACTGCAGAATACAGGAACAGTAGAAGTATGTTAAGCAGTTTACATGCAATTTTATATAGATATATGAAGTTGGATACTACCAAGAGCTATTACCAGCACTTACTTTTATAGGCAGCGCTCCAGCAACAAATGCTCTCCCATATATCTTTGTCACTGTGCCACGTTCTGTTAAGTTTATTGGGCTCAACTCTTTGACTGGCGACATCTGGACTACAACTTCACCACCTCCCTGAGGATAGTAGCCCCTGTTTAGAAACGGTAATCAGATATAATTAAACGCAAAGATCACAAGGAAACCAAGAAAAGAGCCAGAAGGCTCTTCATATATTTCATTATACATTTTTATGTTCTCTGTTACTGTACATATGAATTTTCTTGATGTGTGCCTTAGAAATCTTCATAACAGAATTAGGTTCTCTAACAGTATTACCTCGTAACACACACCTTATTAACTACCCAGCACCAACAATAACTGGCACCTCAGAAAAAGCTCAGTAATGTACTGCCTGTTCAGCATGCGCTTCCCTCAGGGGTAGCCCATAGGAAACATTAAACAGCAGCTGAAGACTCAGCAATGAAAAAAAAGACAGGAAAGAACCACATCACATTCATCATGTGGTGACAGTACACACAGGGGCAGCTAATGCACATTAGTTCACGTATTACAAATTCATCCTTCAGCTTGATTGAGGGCACCTTGTGTGTGTGCCTCTGTGCTCACACACTGGCTCAGTAAGGCCGGCCTCTGCCACACGTCTCCATAACTCACCTCTTTTTTATGTCACAATTAAATGTAAAATTGAACTTTTCAACTATTGGCTTGAAAACCTGAAAAACAAGCACATAAAAAAACACAGAGTGAATCTGTTTTGCATTTATCATTTCCCACTATTTTATGCAGTCTTACAAAAAAAAAAAAAAGTTCAACACAAAAATTTCAGTTACGTTATTAAAAAAAAAAAAAAAAAAGATAGCCAGTCTCATCCATACAGCTTATTTGACATTCCTCATACTTCATTCTGAATGACAGTTTGTGTAAAAGGATTCTCTTATGGAAAAAGGAAGAGAAATTCTTAACAATTCACAGAATATATTTTAAGTGAAATTTTCTTTAGTAATTAAAAGCAAACAGACTAGTTGCTGTTTCAGGGAATTCCATGAAACACTGGTTGCTCTCTACATACAGTACACTAATAGTGTTATATTCCCATGCCTAATTCCATAACTACAAATAAACTTGCAGTAAGAGCAACAGAAGTACAGTAGTTACATTGCATATATACGCATGAAAGATGCACCGAGCCAAAGAAATTTTTCCCTACCATGACTGTGTAGTCTATCTGAGGAGCCATCTCAGCATTAGTCCCACCTTTTAAATGAAGTTCTGATGGGGAAGCAGCAAACAGCACACAGGGCATTGCTACCTGCATCAGTAGACACACACTCCTAAAAGCAATTATAAGATACGCAAATGTCGTGCAGTCATAATCCATAGAATTCCATAGAATCATTACGTATCAAAGGCAAATGACTTCCCAGAGCATTTACATAAGTATTTGATTTTGAACGTTATCTATAAAGTAAACTTATTAGTCTTAAAAAATACTAATTTAAAACTTCATGTCCTTAGCAAGCCTAAATATGAAGGGGTTAGTTTCACAATAATTGCGTGTTTAATATTCCTGTTTGAAATAAAAGTAATGTAGCTTAGTTAGTATAGTGATGGGACTGTGAAAACTGTAGGTTTAGCCAGCAGATGATAAAAGCAGAAAAGGCCTAGGCAGCAATTTTAACATTTTAATACTTATTTAATAACAAAATATTCAGAAAACTACAAAATTGCTTAGAAGCTGGTTAGCATCCCGCACAAGAAAATTCAGGGGCATAGAAAACATACTTTTAGATACAAGATTCCCCTTATCATTGAATCTCTCCACATTTCATAGATAATAAAAAACTTCCAAAATAAATTTTCCAAAAGTAAGTTTGTTCAGCAAAACAAAACAGTTATCTCTCAGGGGTTTCAAACATCATTTTGAATTGTGAAAACAGTAATCACCACTGAACTGAAGAAAACATGGTTTTGTTTTCTTAAATAACTTCAAAATGTTTGTGAACCATACTGTTTCTCTTTTTTTTTTTGTTTTTGCTTGGGCTTAATTACTAATTCTGCTGCATTGTTGCTTACTCAAACCTTTCTGTGTTAAGTAACAGGCATCAGCTTGGTTGTTTATAATATTGCAGCTCAGAAAAATATTTCTCTTAACTTAAAGGAAACTTTAACTTATGCCTAACGTGGCTTATGCTTCCAAACAACTGTTCACACCAGCCTTCCATAGTTAAACCCATTTACTCGGTTTTGCAACAGATTCCAAGAACAAAGGACCCAACACACAAATACAGGATAGAAGAAACCCAGGCACAAAGAACCGTGGATAGAGTATGTTCCCAGTTCCCAAAGACTGGTATCCCATATTGTACCATTACATGCGTAAGTAAAATCTCAAAATTTACTTTATTATATGCTGAGGATTATTCCAGATCTCATGGATTTGAGACACTTATCTAATTTGATGCATTTGACCTGATATGTAATGTATGTTGGAAAATAACGGATAAAGTTTTAAATACACGGGCAGCTGTTTTTTGCTTAACATTAATCAAGTGTTCAACTTATATATCAATCATAATTTTAAAACTATTACACTTGCATGTACTTCATTCATACATATCCTGCCTACACTAAAGGTTCTTTGGTCACACATATCTGGCTCAGGCAGCACAGCTTTTGGCACATTACCCATGTATTAATGTTCTTTTTTTCCCCACTTTTTTGTGATAATTTTAAAGCTACCAAAATGTCTCCTGTCATAATTTTGAAGTTACCAGAAGCAGTTAAGAGCAGTTACCGGTCAGTCATTACCCGTGTACAAAGACATACCCTGCTGTTTTTGTGTCTGCTATGTGGGTTCCACCTTTGATCTTCCCAGGAGTGAAGGTTATTTCTGTTGAGCCAATTTCTCCGCCTTCCAGCTTCCCCTCACATAGATCTCGAATGATCTCCAATCCGGACAGATGCTGAGGCCTTGGAGTGATGATACAAAGTTAAAGATACATGCAAGTAGACTACGTACTCACGTTACATTCAAAGAACTACTAAACACCAACTAATAAATACTACAATTGCAAATTTCAGATCACACAAGGATCAGAAATTCCATCTGGTTCCTACAGTACTTCTCCTGAGTTCACAGGAGCCAAAGGAGCAGCATTCAGGCCATTCTGGAATTTGCAGGATTCTGGTGTGTTTTCCATTAAAGTGGGTCCAGACAGACGAGGTGCAGGAGCAGTCGCTTGTCCTAATGTGATAAATGCTTGGACAAAAATGCAATGGGATAACGACGGCCATACTGAACTGGAGCCAAGCCAGTAACTGGTTGCCAGAGCCACAAGAGAGCTAACAGTTAAGCCTTTTATCTGTCTTGCTGTGCTTGCGTTTCCATTTGTTTGAGTAATTTAAACAGGAAAGAAACGGAACTGGTCGCAACACTGTACGCTCGGTGAGCCATGTTTTGCTGAGGCATTACGTGACCTCAGCTGTACTTCACGTTTCAGCCTGCTTAGCACCTCTGAAAATATTTTCGAGACGCTCTGTAAGTCAGCGGTGCCTGACGGGTGGCGACAGGGGCAGCGCCCTCACCTGCCCTGGCAGCCGGCCAGGCCCAGGGGCGGGAACTGCGCTGAGGGGAGCGGGCGAAGGGGTCCCGAATCCTCCCCGCCGGGAGGCTGCCGGGCGCCCGGTTCGTACCCTAGCTTTCCTCCGCGCTCAGTCCTTCCACGTAAGAGAGCCACAGACGGGATTTTCTGACAAAAAGGACCTCGTAAAGCGACGGAAATACATGGGGTTTGTTCTTGGAAGTATTTCGGACAAAAGCAAACCAAGGCGTTTGCACGGCTACGCCCCCGGCCCGGGAGGGCCTCACACACGCCGTAACGCGACTCCGCTGAACGCGCACGGGGACCACCGCGCCCCGGGACACCCCCCCCGGGCG